GCTTAAACTGAAGATTCCTGGCCCCTCTCCCCAGAAATGCTGGTTCTGTGGCTTTAGATTGATGTCCAGGAGTCTTTATTTTCACAGACTCCTCAGATGATTCCCACGGGCAGTCAGGTTTGGGGACACTAGGGTATAATGACAATCTTTACAGCATGCCTGCTTGTCGCAGCTCCCGTAACTATTATTATACCCAGAGCTTGGTGGGTCAGTGTCCTAGCACAGTGACTCACTTCCAGGCCAGTGTCTCCCGAGGACTGACTCCTGCCCTAGCGACCCTGGGCGAGAGTCAGTGACTTGCTTCTTTGCCTCCTGAGCTCAGTGCCAGGGTCCTGGCTCCAGACGCGTGGGCGCTGCAGGCCGCCTGCTGCCAGCCTTGCGTGACGCTACCCTCTCTCTGCCCACGGAACTTACTGACACTGTCTGCTGCTTATGTTTCTCCAGATGCCTGCCCTCTCATCCTCAGTCTCGTCCATCTCATCTCGTCCGAGCCCTGGTTTTGAACCCGTGTCCCACGTCCTACAAAGAGGCAGCTCTGACCCTTGCCAGCTCTGTATCCCTCATCGTCCTACGTTGTTACTTTACCAAATGGAAGAGAGTGAAGTTCTTACTGTTTTTGATTTGCTACTCTCCAATCTGAAACCCAAATACTGGCTAGTGGCCCCCTCTCCATATAAACCTAGAGTCAGAAACCAATCTGCCGGTAGACCAGATCTCGTCACCTCCCGCCTGCACTTCCCAAAGCTCTGCAGTATCGGTGGGCGAAGGTCCCTGCCGTCCGCTGCTCAGAGCCAGCTAGGTCCCTGTGCATTCTGGTCCCGACCTTCGCGACCAGCCCCTGAATGCCGTGATCTCCGGCCGGCACGCTGTCCTGCGTCTCTGAGCAGCAGTTATTGTGGAAGCTGAGGATGATGGTGGGTGGAGCTTTTTTGTTTATAATTAAGTTTTTATTTTAGAGTAGTTTTAGTTTTATAGAGAAGTTGCAAGACTATTACAGAGTTCTCGTACACCCCTACCCAGTTCCCCCAAATGTTCACAGTAGTGTGGTACACTAGTCACAGCTAGGGAACCAGTATTAACAAACGGTTATTAGCTCAAGTCCATGCTTCGCTCTGATTTCCTGAGTTTTCACCTCATGTCCTCCTCCCCCAGGATCCCATCCAGGACACCACGTTCCACTCAGTCATCATGTCTCCTTGGGCTCCTCACCTGGCTGTGGCCATTTCTCAGACCTTCCTTGTTTTTGATAATGTTGATGATTTTGAAGAGTACTGGTTAGATATTTTGTGGAATGCCTCTGTCTTGGAATTTGTCTGATGTTTTTCTCACGGTTAGACTGCGGTTATGTGTTTTTCGTGGGGGAGACCACAGCAGTAAAGTGCCACTCTCATTTTATGGTATCCCATCAATGTGACATGTCACCGTGGATGTTGACCTTGATCACCTAGCTGGAGTGATGTTTGTTGGGTGTCTCCCTGTGGAGTCACCCCTCCGCCTTCCATACCGTCCTCTTTGGAAGAAGATCACTGTGCACAGCCCACACGGAAGAGCTGGGGAGTTAGGCTCCACCTCCTTGAAGGCAGAGTAGCTACATTAAATTAATTCTGAATTGTTTGGAATTCATCTGTGCAGGAGATTTGTCTTCCTCTCCCATTTATTTACATACATAATCATCGATTTCTGCCAGTCTGGACTCATGGATTTTTTATTTTACACTCTTGGTTATAATTCAACGATACGGTACTGATTTTGTTGCTAGAGTTGTGGCTAGCCATGGCGATTGGGAGCTCTTTCAGGCGGCGCGTGTCCCCTTGACATGCCCCTGTTGCTGTGTTTGGGTTTGGCACACTTCCTTACTCTCTGGCACTCAAGATGGCGGAGGGAGCTTTTGCCGATGTCTCCTTGAATGTCCGTATTCCAGCCCTGTGGGATGTGCTAAAACAGTTTTTTGTAATACTTGTTCTAAAATTACTTGTAGAATCCACGGTACAGTCCTTCGAATAATTTGAACGTCGTTGTTGTTGGGCTAAGAGGGGCGTAGATAACACCTAACGTGAAAACTAAAGAGAAAACCGTGTAAGCACGTTGCTTAGAAAGACAGAGGTCCCTGTCAGAGCAACAGCTGATCAAGGTGAATTTGTTGCTTCTGCGAAGTGGGACTCGGGTGCTGGTGACTTCATAAAGGAAGTGTATGTAGGTAACTTTGAGTTTACAGGAAGCCCACAGGAAGGCTGTGATTAAGAGAGAGAGGCTGGATACACAAGAGCATGAAGGGATAAAAGTTGAAGTTTCTGAGAAAGTGGACCGAGCTGGAATCCAGAACACCGAGTGGAAGCATTGGTCTCTGTTAGGAGGAGGGTTAGATCAAAGCTAACTACAGGAGTATTCCACCTGTCCAGATAGCCTGACTCACCCTTAGAAAGAGCGCTTTCTGGTTTAAAATCAGAGCATCTCATTGAAAAAGGTGTCTCACAGCCACGCTCGGTGTGGCCTGTGGACCCTGGGGGTCTCCAGGAGCCCTTCAGAGACCTACGAGGTCAGAACTGTTTTTATAATAATACGAAGATGTTTGCCTGTTTCCGTGTGTCAGCACCCCCACTGAGGGTGCCGAAGCAACGGTGGGTAAAACTGCAGGTGTCCCGGTGTGGATCTAGGCATCGATGGCAGTAAAAAAAACCCAAAACAACAAAGCTCCAGTTTCCTTAAGAGTGTCCTTGAGAAAGCAGTCAAACTTGCTCATTATACTAAACCTCAGCCGCAGAGTGCCCGTCTTTCTCAGCGTTCTGAGCGAAGCACTGGGACATCTGCGTGCAGCTGCCCGTGTCGCCGAAGTGCGCTGGGTGTGGTGAGGAACAGCACCTAGATGACCGACTGGTGGTGAACTGAGGCCGCCTTTGTCACAGAGCACCGTTTGTACCTGCGGGAACCACAGCCAGACCGTGGGGAGAACGGCAGGCGTTACCTGGAAAATGAACAGAGTGAGCCTGTCACTTTGAGGGAAACACTGTTTGTTGCCAGCGGTAAAAATGGAGATTTCAGATGAAAATTAGAATTTCAAAACCTTGTATCTGCCACTCTGAGCTTGACAGCTTCCCAGTATTTACAGACTTTTTTGAGGAGACTGTAATGATATTAATGAGTATGGAATTTTTTTTGTGCTGTTATAGAATGATGTATGGAAGATCCACATAGGTCAGTGAACCAATATTTTCCAAATGCCCAATGCCAGATGGTACACAATCATCTGTGGGTGAGTTATTCCAAATGCTGGTTGGACCAACGGGTTGCAGTGTAATAGAGCACCACAGTGTGGTGTACAGTTTCATATTCCACGGTGCAGTGACCAATTATCCTGGAAGAAACAACCACTTGTCGAGTTTTGGTGTAGTATCAACGATGACTATCTGTTGCCATCCAGTCAGTTCTGACTCATGGAGACCCCGTGTGTGACGGAGTAGAACTGAGCTCCATAGGATTTTCTTGGCTGTAAACTTTGTGGAAGCAGATTGCCAGACCTTTCTTCCACAATGCCTTTGGGTGGCTTTGAACTGCCAGTTTATAGGTTAGTAACCAAAAACCAAACCCACTGCCATCGAGTTGATTCCAACTTATAGTGACCCTATAGGACAGAGTACAGCTGCCCCATAGGGTTTCCAAGGAGCTGCTGGTGGATTTGAACTTCCGACCTTTCGGTCAGCAGATGAGCTCTGAACCACTGCGCCACCAGGGCGTGGTAGTCACCACCAGGTTAGTAGTCAGGTGCAAATCGTAATAGCTATGATTATATGAAAACCAAAAAAAAAAAAACCCAAACCTGTAGCCATCAAGTTGATTCCAACTCGTAGCGACCCTATAGGACAGAACAGAACTGCCCCATAGAGTTTCCAAGGAGCGGCTGGTGGATTCGAACTGCCGACTTTTTGGTTAGCAGCCGAGCTTTTAACCGCTGCGCCACTATGGCTTCATGATTATATGAAAAAAGCTATTAAAATTCTCTTCTTTTTTCTAATGCTACATCTTTGTGAGGCTGGATTTTCTTTCTATACATCAACCAGAACAATGTATCACAACAGACTGAGATCTGAGAAGCAGATATGAGAATCCATCTGTCTTCTGTTAAGCCAGATAGTAAACAGAAAAATATAAAACAATGCTATTCTTCTGAATTTAAAAAAAGTTATTTTTTTTTGTAACAAATTTTATGTTAACATATAATGAGTTTTTAAATGAATGAATAAAGAAATATTTAAAAAATTGTCTCAGTTTCTAGTATGGTAAATACCGAGAGATACAATCACATAAACAAAAGCTCTTTGCAGTCCTCAGTGACGGGCATAGAGGGGTCCTGAGACCAACAGAATGTGAGAACAGCTGGTCTAGAGTCATTTGCTCTACAGGCTACTCCTGAAATAAATGAGTGAACCATGAACACATATGTACCTTGGTAACACGGATTTTTTTTTTGTCTGAGACTGTGGAAGAAAATTATTTCAAATGTATCATTTCATCGTCCTGCGTATCTTCCCCTGCGCCTCTGTACGCCAGAGCCGTGGTTTGAACACAGGGAGAGGATCGTATTGTTTCCCTGCAGAGCTCCGTGTGCACAGCATCTGTGAGAGAGGACAGCCCCCAGGCCTTTTCACACGAAGCTTGAATAGGAGCAAGGAATCAGATTGTAACAGTGGAACAGAGCTGCAGTTACTGAGATACAAAGCTACATGAATGGAAGAAAAACAATCGCTGTATCAGTGGTTTTAATAAAACCGGTTCTCCCGGGCAAGGTGAACAGTTGTGGGCATTTTAACCGTGTTAGGACGCATTAGCAGTCCATAAATCTGGTTATGCACAGATAAACCTCAGGCCCTGCCATGTGGTCTTCAGTCAAAGGTGACTCTGGAGTGAATTATATAAGGGGAAACTGGGGGGTGGGGGGTGGGAAGAGGTTTAGCAGAGGAGGAAATGCATATACTAAGAACTTTCTCCTTTTCATTACTTCTCAGATCCTCTGTCAATGGGTCCTCAGAAAGCTCTGGAAACCATTGGTGCAAATTTACAGAAGCAGTATGAGAACTGGCAGCCGAGGGTAAGCTTCCTTTATCTGCTTTTCCCTTTCTTTCTCACAGGGAAGTGTGAATCTCTTGATTGAAGCATAGGTGCTCACCTCCTTTTATTGCGGGCCTGTGCCCCTGCCCCTGTCACATGCCCCCGGGTTTCACCGAGGTGTCTGTTAGCACACCGCGGAGCTTCCCGGGCTGGGTAGTCTGTTGGTTATTTTGTTCAAGTTTTCCCCCAAAATCTTCAGAAAAAAGAAAAGTACTTTTCCTGTTACTCTTAAGTCCTAGTCTTTGTTTTGGTCAGGAAATGTTATTTTCAATAACTTTTCTGCAACTTCAGCTGGCTAGAGCTGTTCCTCCTGTCTTCTGTTTTCAAACAGTTAAGGAAAAAAAGAACCCGACATTGAAAAGATGACACCTATTATATGCTTTCTCTTTGATTCAAAGGTGAGGATTTTTGAGGGAGCCAGTTACCAATTACTGGGCTTCTACACTCGTGCTGCTTATATATTTTCAGTTTTTCATAAACAAAAGTGGCCTGGAATATAACTGTGTCACGTTGCATTTAAGATCTTAAGTGATTTGTAAACCACCCAAAGACATACTTCCTATAGCCTTACTCGTTGGCTGGCTTGGGGATTTAATAGAAAATCCGCATGTTGGGCATTTGTGGAGGCGCCCACCCACCCACGTCTGTGTGACGCTCTGTGGACTGGCCTCTACGTGATGCAGAAGGCCGGCCCCTCTGAGTTTCACTCTTCTTTAGAGATCTGAGTCTCAGGGGAGCAAATGATGCACAGAACCCCGTGCGGATAGTTGATCCACACGATGTGGAATTTAGGAGTTCTTTGTACATGATTTATATCCCAGGCGGAAGAGTCAGAACTGAATTGGTGCCTGCCTTTCACAGTGCCCTAGGTGATTTCTGTTCTTCATAGTTAGTTATGTGGTGGCTGATGGTTATGGCACATCTCTGTGTCTCAGGGTGTATCTTTGTGCTTTGCATGCCCAGCTTGTCAAATCAATAATAACGGACTTTTACTCTTCGAAGGGCACGCTTCCTAAGTGGTTGTTTTGATGTGTGCCTGAAGACTGCTTTTTCCTCCATCAAACGTGTTTCCTCTCGATGGTTTTCTTGAGAGTGCGGTGTGTTTGTTGGGTGTTGGATGAGAAGCAGAGAGATATTTTGATGGTGTGATGTTGTCATCAGGTACTGTTGATTCAGTTCCGACTCATAGTGACCCTACGTACAACAGAACAAAACACTGCCCGGTCCTGCGCCACAATCGTTGCTATGTTTGAGCCCATTGTTGCAGCCACTGTGACAGTCCATCTCATTTGAGGGTCCTCCTCTTTTTTGCTGACCCTCACTTTACCAAGCATGATGTCCTTCTCCAGGGACTGGTCCCTCCTGATAACATGTCCAAAGTAAGTAAGATGAAGTCCCGCCATCCTCGCTTCTAAGGAGCATTCTGGCTGTACTTCTTCCAAGACAGATCTGTTCATTCTTCTGGCTGTCCAGGGTATATTCAGTATTCTTCGCCAACACCATAATTCAAGGGCATCAATTCTTTTTCAGTCTTCCTTATTCGGTGTCCCATGTTCACATGCATATGAGGCGACTGAAAACCCCATGGCTTGAGTCATGTGCACCTTAGTCCTTAAAGTGACATCTTAGCTTTTCACCACTTTAAAGAGGTCTTTTGTAGCAGAATTCCAGTGCAATAGGTCGTTTTTGGTCTTGACTGCTGCTTCCATGGGCGTTGATTGTGGATCCAAGTAAAATGAAATCATTGACAACTTCAGTCTTTTCTCCGTTTATCATGATGTTGCTTATTGGTCCAGTTGTGAAGATTTTTGTTTTCTTTATGTTGAAGTGTAATCCATACTGAAGGCTGTGGTCTTCGATCTTCATCAGTAAGTGCTTCAAGTCCTCTTTGCTTTCAGTAAGCAAGGTTGTGTCATCTGCGTAACGCAGGTTGTTAATGAGTCTTCCTCCGATCCAGATGCTGTGTTCTTCATCTAGTCCAGCTTCTCGGATTATTTGCTCAGCATACAGATTTAATCAGTGTGGTGACAGGACACAGCCCTCATGCACACCTTTTCTGATGTGTGTATTTGATGGTGTAATGCTCTAAAAATTGTTGAGATAGCTAGTGTTACCAGTGGAAAACTGTTTCTTTGAGAACTTTCAAGGTACTTTCGAGGTACTCCAGAATCTCAGTGGGGCTGGACAGGCACTTCTGTGAGAGCAGCAAAGGGCAGGCTTTCAGCCCGCGCTGTGCAAACACTCTCCGGAAGGCCAGAAGACATGGCGCTGTTGGTCTCTAGGAGGTTGACAGCCAGTGGTATTTCAGTTTAAAGGAATGCCTTTAAGACTCAGATGCTTCTGGCATTCTCGTGGGTTTGACATCATGTTTTTGCCTTTTGCTGGCTACATTTGTTTAAAAAAGGATACGACCAGTTAAAATCAGATCTACCAATTGTGTTCTTTGTAGAATGAGTCTTTGCTGTTTTAATTACCTTCTTCCTTTTAAAAGAGTATTACACAAGAAAACACAGTCCTTCAGAATACCTCCGTGTAATGTTGTTCCATTTGATATGATTTTTTTTTTGGAATGCTAAGAGTTGATTTACTGCTAACCTTATTATTAGTTTAGGTTGGTGGATATCAGCTAGTTCATGCTAGCTGGCAGGAAATGAAATCTTCTAAAGTAGGATCTAAATTTCTGCCTAAGAACAAGCCTCCATGGCATCTGGAAGAGGCATTAGGATGTCAGGCAGGCAACACTGACATACAGGTAGGTGACTGCAGATACAAAGATGAAGTGTAGAATCACACATAGGTTGAAGAAGTTACCTTCCCATGATCACGGAAGGCTGCCCTAAGGTAGCGAGCAGAGGCACAAACTGGTGCCGTCCCGGGAGAGACAGTCTTTAGCCTGGATCACTTGTTCAAGTTGGTAGAATTTTTTTTTTAAACTTTTTAAAATTGTGCTGTAGGTGAAAGTTGGAGCTCTGGTGGCACAGTGGTTAAGAGCTCAGCTGCTAATCAAAAGGTCAGCAGTTTGAATCCACCAAGGTGCTCCTTGGAAATTCTTTGGGGGAATTCTACTAGAGGGTCACTATGAGTCAGAATCAACTCGACGGCAACGGGTTTTGGGTTTGGTTTAGGTGAAAGTTTACACAGCAAATTAATTTCTCATTCAGAAATTCCTAACACATTGTTTCCTGGCATTGGCTGCAATCCTGCATGTGTCAGCACTCTCCCCCTTACCCTTTCCACCCTGGGTTTCCCGGTTTCATTCATCCAGTTTTTCTGTCCCTTTCTGCCTCCTCGTCTTAGTTTTTGGGCAGATGTAGCCCATTTGATCTCGGGTACTTGATTGATCTAAGAAGCACATTCCTTACGTGTGTTACTGTTTGTTTTATAGGCGTGCCTAATCTTTGGCTGAAAGGTGAACTTCAGGAGTGACTTCAATTCAGAGTTAGAAGGGTGTCCAGGGGCTATAATCTTGGTGGTTTTTTTTTGGAAATTTGATCATTTGTTTTACATTTTTCTCCCGCTTTCCCTGGGACGCTCTGTTGTGGTCCCAGTCAGAGAGATCGGTAGTGGTAGGTGGGCACCATCTAGTTCCTCTTGTCTCAGGGTCTTGTGGGCTGTGGTTCACGTGGTCCATTAGTCCCTGGACTAATTGCTCTTTTGAGTCTTTAGTTTTTTTACTCTCCTTTGCTGGAAGGACTAGAAGAGACTGATAGTTGTATCTCTGATGACCACTTGCAAGCTTTTAAGACCCCAGATGCTACTCACCAAAATAGGATGTAGAACATTGTCTTTAAGAACTATGTTGTGCCATCAATTCGGTAGGATTTTAAGAACGGGTTTGCAAAATAATTTTCTGGACCAGAGGTAGTTGAGAGGACTGGGGAGGCAGAGAATGTCTCCAAACTCCAGGACACTTAGAAAAAGGCATTAGTGTCCCAGTGCGGGTGGGTTTCCATCTGCGTTGGTTAGAAAGTGGAGTCTGGAATAAGTATCAACTGTATCCTAGAGAGAAGCTATTCATGCAAACAGATGGGATCTTTTGCCTGCATTCAGGAAGCAGAACCACAACAATGAATACTTAATATTTTCTTTTCGAATGCCAAGAATTGAATGCCAAGAAATGCCGAGAATGCCAATGAATTGCATTCATTTTTAAGTGCGATAAAAATGTTTAAACATTTCCTACTACAAACCATTAGTGGGACTTGATGATTTCAGAAAAAGGTCGGTCGTGGCTGTTGTCCAAGACCTCTGACCACTCGCGGGTGTCAGATGTGCCGCAGGCCGTGTGACCTCTGACCACTCGCGGGTGTCAGATGTGCCGCAGGCCGTATGCGCTAACCATGACAGTCACATGCTTGGAGCACGCGGCACGTTCTCTGCTCCATCTCTTCACGTGGGTGGCAAGAGACAGTGAGGGAGGCCTGGCATCCCATAGTGGTGTGGCCAGACCTCCTGCTGCCTTCTGGAGTTTGCGCAAAACATGAGGCAGTTACCCAGCTCAGATGTTTGGTTGCAAGGTGCCTGCTCCTTTACTGTAAATTAGTGTTCTTTGAAACATTGCCGCGCTAAACACGTACCACTTTATTGCACTCTACAGGGCTCTTGAGTTTTCTCCAGTAATAAGGAGAGGTTGATGTGCCATCTGCAATAAAACAATGGGAGTGTTATTAAATTTCCCAGACCTTTGATGTAAATACCCGTAGATCTGGCTTTCGCTTTCCCTGTGTCTTTTATTGCAAGATCCACAAAGGTTGGGCAATTTGAAAGAAGGTCATTTTCATTAATGCTTGCTGAAATGGTGGCATGGCTCCACGCGGCATGGGCGTGCACAGACAAGGAATGCCTGTTGTCCTTAGAGCTGCTCCCCACCCTGATGTGTAGAAAGCTGACCACCGAACCCCAGTGGTGTGTAAGAACGGCGCCTTGGAGATTTGATGACTGCCTTGCTGGGCTAAAATGCCTATACCATTTCCTGCTTAT